AAATTCAACTGGACAAAAACCTGAGCAACCTAATCTAACTTTGAATTTAGGTCTGCCTTTGAGAAGGCGGTTGAACTGAGTGACCTCCAGAGATCCCTTCCAACCTGAATTATCTTACAGTTCTGTTTGTCTCAATTTTCATTTTGCTAAGCTACCCAAGCCAAATTTACTTGTCTCCTCTCATAAAAAAAAAGGAGAATCTCAAACTCATTTTTATCCAACGCTCTAGATTATAATCTTTTCCCGTCAGTCAAGAATCTATAACGAACAGGGTGTTCTAAACCCATGTAATGTTTGTAAGTACATTATCCTATTTACAGGTTGATATAAAATAGATGCTCAGTAGATGGAGACACTTCACACTGAAATGTACACACAGAGTCATGACAAAAGATGTTTTACTCCATGCAAAGTCAAGGTCAGCCAAGTACAGGTGACACCTGCTCTGGCAGTGTGACCTTTCCATCCCTGAAAAGGTGAGTCTATTCCTAAATCAACAGGCGTAAAAAAATCAAATAACAAAGTGCAAGTAATTTTTTGGTCAGGATGACTGAATCTGAATGGATTCCCTGGAAACCTCTAAACAAACAGTATTGGCTGTAGGAGTTAAGATGCTATACTCCAAGGAGGTTTCCTCAGTAGAACACAATATGTGAGAAGAGCAGACAAGGAGACAGAATCATTGAAGAGATGGGTACATCTATCCTCGTAATTAAGAGATAACTGGGACCAATGCTTGACCCAGAGGCCAGATTGCACGGATTAGCAAAGGTCCCCACTGCATAGGGCTAGTCCCCTCTAGAGAAATCAGCCATGTCCACACCACAGAGTATTTGGCTCTGAGTCTCTTCTGAATCCTATGTATTGTCCCCAAGATCCTAAGACATAATGATTATCTTGTGCCTTTTTTAAATCACGAAGTCTCTGAAATAACTTCAGGACTATGTGGCAGCCTATCACTGTCATATCATTGGAGTTGCAAACTGGAGAGTTTCTGTTGTGTTCTCTAGGAAGCAAAGGGGTACAAAGCCTATTAGGAGACTTTGCTGAAGGATTGTGTAGGGAGATGGACCTTATAGTTTCTTTCCAACTGCCTGCTAGAATTTGTTTCTGGACTGAGCTACTTCCAAAACTGTATCTGGGTTTTAATCTTGCAGAAAGTAAGCTAGAGTGGTCAAAGGGGTAAATCGACAATTAAACAATTATATATCTATGCAGGCACTTCTCCCTCATGCCAGAGTTGATTAGTTTCCTCAAAACTAAAAATAGGACAACCATGGAGCCGAGTGTTAAAGCTCACTCCCTGGCCCTGCGTGCTTACCAGAGTAGAGGTACCCAGTGTGTCTGTAGAGAATAAGATTTTTGTTTGGATGTTGATCTTGGTACTAGCAGATTAAGCAATTTCTGTTCCTTTCTATGAACTTTTGCAATTGTGACATCTGCTTCACATTTGGAATTAATATTTTATCTCTTTCTTTTGACCTAAGTATGTTATCAAAGTGACTGGCTTAAGAGACATTGGTCCCACACCTCTCTCTTATTTAGCAAGACATTCTTTTAGATTGGCAAGGAGGCAATGAATCGTTAAACTGGGATTTAAGCAACTATACAGTTTTTCTAGGATCACCAAAGGAAAAATGAGTGTGTCCCCATGATAGCTGCTTTTGAGTGTTCATATCACAAAGATCAGGAAAGGAATTAGTGTGTTCCAGTGACAGCCAGAAAAGCTGTCTAGACTGTAGCAAGGTAGTAGATGCTGGTTCCAAATGTCCACAGGCAGTTTGTGTCCATGCCTGTGTCTGTAGGCATCCTCCTGGAAGACCTTCAGACCCAGTGGTGCAGAGCATCCACACTGTCCAAAATGAAACCTCCTCAAGCACAGACTGCTCATGTAAACACTGCACAGTGCTTGACTTGGGTCTCCATGGGGACAGTGCAGGGACCTTGTGGGTCTAAACCACAATAATGATAATAATAATAACAACAACAACAACAACTCTGTGTGTGTGTTTGTGTATGTGTATGTGGTGGGATGAGGTTTCAGATCAAAGCGAATGTAAGGACAGTGCTGGATGGAGCCCACTGGAGTGCTGTTTTTATAGCTTGATGGTGAAAGAATGTATGGCTTACTTCAGGGTCTGGCATCTGCCCAGTGGAGTTTAAAGGTGTCTTAAGCATTCTGGGCTAGTGTTGGAGGAATGTGAGAGCCCAAGAAAGCAAAACATGGCAACTGGAAGCCATCTCTGTCTGCGGGGAATAATCCCTGTGTGAAATAATTGCCAGAACTGCACCAGAGGATGGTGGTCCATCCAAAAGAGAATCCAGAGACAGCTTTGCTGTTACCGACACTTTCTGACACATCCTGGAATCACATTTGCCTCTTTCACAGTCATATTATCTTGGCACCACATAGTTCTGTGGTCATCTGATGACTACCTATGTAATAGCAGAGATCCCTGTTCTTTGTTCCTAAGTCTGCTGTTTTGCACTTGGCATTAAGTGCCCTTCCATCCTCAAACTCTTCTCCAGTCCTCTTTTATACCCTTATTGTGTTTTGTACCCTTGATATTCAAGTCATTTTCTATGTTAATGTTGCCTCTCAATTTTGCATCATCATCATATTTCATTAGGATATGCACATTTTCCCATGACAATATATATACTACATGAAAATATTAAATTAGAACTCAAGATTGAACAAGACTGCTCCTGGAGGTATTTTGCTACATACTTCCTTCTAGTATTATGACTGTTTTCAGCACAAACTCCTGTCATCTGTATTCTACCTATCGTCTTTTCAGTTCTTATATATATCCTCTTCTTCATAAACTGATGATTGTGTGGAATAGAAAGTGAGTAAGCAACATCCAAGTTGACTAAAGCTATTGCATTTCAAGGGAAAGAGAACACGGAGGAAATATTTTTGTCTTTAAAAAAAAGTGTTGTTATCGTATAATCTATTTTTGGTGAACACAAAGCAGATTTTGTTCAATTTATCCCAGACATACTGGCAAAAAAGCAAGTATGCTCAGCTTTTCTACATAAGACCCCCCTTCCTCTTTTCTGTTTCTCTTTTTGTTTATACAACTAAAATGAAAATCTACTATTTTAATTGCCTTTACAATATCTAATTCATCTTAATTTTCAGCAATTCTTAATTTACCTCTACACTTTTTGCCCTCCAGGAAACTGTTCAGTCTCTTTTTGTATTTCTCTAGGGATGTCTACTTATTTCTAATATCCTTTTGAGGTGGTTAATTGTCCAGCTTGATTCTGAGATTTTCATACCCGTTTCTGGATAAAAATTCCATACTATTTTTTTCAGTTTTGGCTTCAGGAAAATCCAGTTCAAGCATTCCCCTCCCTAAGCACTTCAGCCCAACCTGCTTTACTATATAGTTTTCCCAGTTTATCAAAGTTTGCCCATTTAAAATCCTCACTGTAGGTACAGATCACTTTTGTCGATCCTTCCATTTCATCACCATTCTTCACCAGACAACAACGATCTCCTTCATGAATTCTCTTAGTCTTAAAGATTATGAGCTCTGTTATTTTTGGCTATGGTTTACATGTCCAGATGAACAGTTTGAATGAAGTTGTTTTCCCTGAGGCATCTCCCTTGAATTTGTTTGCAGAGAAGATGAATGCAGTGCTCCTGGATTTCCTGTCCTACGTCCCTGTATAAACATTTGGGTGTTTTAAAACATAAGGTCCTGTGAAGGGCATCGTGTATATGTCTATGTTTGAGAGAGTCACTGCAGGTTCCTCCTACAGTCCCTAAAGAGAAGCAGATATTTAAGGTTGCAAATCAGAAATTAGTAACTCTAGTCCTTCCAGTGACTAATTTTGGACAGGGAGACTAGACAATTAGTTCAGATGCAGGCATGTACACTGCAGATAACTACTGTTAAAGGAGATTAATCAAACTCCTGCTGTGCTTTAACCAGTTGTTTCCAAAACAAACTACTGCACCCATTTCAGTGTTATGAGGTGGTGGATTCTCTCTGCTACCTATTACCACTGCTGCAGACACAATACTGGGTTACTGGGACCATTGATATGATACAGTGTGGCATGTTCTTACTGCAGACATTTTTCAATATAATTATGCCACTTAATTTTAGTTCAGTGATAATTAATAGAAGTGAGATTCACTTACTAGATAATAATTTGTATTGTCCTTCAATAGTCTTGTATATATTAAGTCCAAAAGACAATGCTTGCTCAAAATGAAGTGCTGGTCTGAATATCTGCCTTAAATGATATAGTAGGTTTTGTACAGAATATGATAGTTTCTGGGGACTTGACATTAAACAGTGCATATAAGCTGGTGTATGTTCATACAAGGTTATCTACTAAAGATAATTACTCAGTTGTCACACTGCAAAAATGATGTGCTAATAAACATACACATATTTGTCTAAAACCGTATGGTTCACTTAAATTTGCGTGGCCATAAAAAAGTGCACACAATTACTTTCCTCACACTGAGTCATTCTGATTAACCTTGCTTTCCTATATTCTTAGTTAAAAAGTCAGTAAAGGATTAGAAATTTAACACGTCTTCCTTCAAGCCAAGAACGGCTTTTCCTCTGTCCATACAAAAATTTACTACTGAAAATATTATTCTAACAGCAAACAGTGCAATTAGTTATTTGCTTTTGTTTGGTTATTTAATTTTTAGGTCCAGGATACCTTATCTGCAAATGTATGTCCTGGTTTGTTACTATATTAGTAAGATATGTAAAGTAATAGATGATTTCTAAAGAAATATGTCAACTTTTACTAAGGCTAAGGAGATCTAAGAAAACTGCACTGACTACTACATAATAATGAAATACCTTGACATCTAGACCACATTATGATACTATTCTATCTTCAGGCTGACATATAAAAACAATAATACTGATATTAAGCAGTATAAAAATATCTAGTACTACTGCCATTTTGACATAAGAAAGCTTAAGGTGATATACAGATACTCAGTGCAAAAAGATTACCTGATTCCAGAAGCTCAGCTGCAGTGATAGCCTGGTGAGGTTGAGGTGAATTTCCCCTGGAAGGTGGTGTGCAGTGATGGAAAGAAATATTACCACTTACATTTCAGGAATAGGAAGTTCTGCATCAGGCAAGTTGCTCACAGGCTATTGAGTTGTACAGTCATGGAATTTTTCAGGTGATCACATTTCATCAATTTAAACCCTTCTTGTCCTTGAGAATATTTCAGCAACGTTCATGATCTATTTAGGTTTGTAATATTTGCAGAGGTTACTTATTTTAAAACGCTTACTGATTTTTTTTGCATCAAAATTGTGTCCATGTTTTTCCACAATATTGGAAGCTCAGCTATTTTCTGGCTTTCACTTGTGATGGGTCACATCTTTTCTACTTATTGATCAGACAGCACATTTTTAAAACAGTTAGGTAGTAAACAATAGATAGCAAGTACTATTCATGGAAAAACAGACTTTCTTTGTATAAACACACAGCTACACCAATGAGAAATAACCTAATGATTGTGGTGAGCATTTAAAACTCACTACATATGAAAGACAGTGACGTACAAGCATAGTTGTACGAGGCCGTTCTTGGGAATGTGAAATATATATGCTTCTTACTGTGGTTTTTCATGTAAAACTGATAAAAAATTGAATATTACAAGGGATGGAGGTGGTCAAAGAGATTAGATTTATTTTTGGTTATATGGAAGAGTCTAGCCTGAATTACCTGATATTAACAAATAAAACCCAGAAGCTATTTAACATATGTGTGCAGCAATTCTATTACGGACATTACATGGTATTATTTGCCAGTAAATTATTTTCGAACATTAGCAGCTAGGGAACTCAACAATCAGATGCATTAAATTCAGTTGTCAAGTAATATAGTGACTCACTAGAATTTAGAATGAATTTAAGAGGAAAAAAACCCAACTAAATCCAGTTCAGTACTTGTGTGAGAAAGAGCAGACTCCTGCCCATTCTGGCTATCATCTCAAGAACTAGTCTGAAAACCAAATTAAAACATACTTTACAAGGCTCCTGGTTAGGAGCACAGGAGGCTGAGAGGAGGAAAAAACTTTTTTCTCTTTATTTTTTTCCTCTTTCTTTGGTTTTCCTTTGGCTTAAAATACAGGAAAATGCCACAGGGCTCTGAGCATTCTGTCAATTATCTTGAAATGTAACTAAACCAAACTTAATACACTCAGTTCACACCGTACTACCAGGTAGCTGCATGCATACTCCCCTATTCATCTGTCAGCATGTTACTCCTCCAACCACTCTTCAATGAGCAGCTAACACAAATAGGTGCTGGACAGCAGGAAGGAGGCAGCATCCCAGAGTTTTCATCAAAAATATATTCCTGACCCTCCTCTCTCAATTCTGTCACACTGGATCACAGCATGTCTGCAGATTGCAACCTAGGCTCTCTTAGATACTGCATGTAAAGATATCCTAGGACATACTTGTCTCATGCTACTTTTAATTTATCTTACTCTGCTAGTTCAGGAGAGCTTTACTGAAGGAGACTCATGTGGATTCATCCCCAGCTGTTTGAGGACAGAAAATAATAATGGAATTCTTAATTAGACAAATGCCAGTTTCCTTACTTCTGACCTCCATATCACAGTTCAAGATAAAAGAACAACTGCTCCATACTCCTAGATGAAAAACCATTTAGATCAAGGCTCGGCAAGGAGCCTTGGACAAACCTGATATATCTATTTAGAGCCATGACAGAGAAGAGCAATTTATCAACATCAGTAAATCGTGATGAATGCCAAGACATACAAGCCTCCTAAATCAAATAAGGGCCTCAACCAGGTTTTGTCTAATAATTGCTTGCTGAAAGCTGAATGCAAGGTAGGACATAATTAATTGGATTCTCCCTCCTAATAGCATAGCATAGCTCTAGAGTGAAGGCTGTGAAGTTTTAGGATGTGGAGCAGAAAGAGGAAATTAACTTGCAGAAGATACAGGAATGGAATTCTCACCTTCTCCAGCAGGTAGGATCATGTGGGACTTGATGTTTCTTTTGACTGACCTTTCCAAGCCACAAAATCAGTTTTGAAAGTGAGGAGCTCTGCACTCCATCTGCTATCCCTGACTGTCCCATTTAGCCCAAATACTGTGAAGTTTCTGTACACACTTGGAAGATATGAGAAATCTGATTTGCTTTAGGTACTATATAATACTTAATTCCACCATAACAAGGTACTGATCTAGAGATGAAAGGTTTAAAGCATTATTTTTGTCTTGTTAAACAAATTAATGCACTATTTTGGCTTGTGAAGCAAATCAAGCCTTGCTCTGCCAGGGAAAAAATGTACTTTTTTGTGACCATGGATATATCGATTGTTGGACAAGTTATTTACACTTTCTTTCTCTCTTCCCTTTCTTTAAGTGGGATACCAGTGCTAGTCTGACTGCAGTGGATTTATGGAAGATACATGACTATGTTATGCTGTAATAGTGAAGCTATGTAAGTATCTTCCAAGTAGGACACTGACACTAATATTCCTCCCACATTAACCAAGTCATAGAGCATGTGGATGAACCTGCAGGACTTGTGGTATCCAGCAGGTAGCAGGAATAAGTGACAGAGGGAGACTCATATTTATCCAGCTTCCTGATGTTTCCTTGAGATGTAGATAATACAAGAAAAGAAAATGCTGGAGTCTGCACCTGATGTGCATGAGTTTTGCCACTGGGATGAGAATACCAGACACACACACACATATATACATAGAGTAAGAATACACAAGAATAAACAAGTTTCCTTTCTTTTATATCAGTTTCTCCTGTGCAGGGGGAAATAGGATGCTAAGAAACTCCATCTCTTCTAATTTGCCAGAAGGTAGCTTTCCCTGAGAAACAAGCTTTCAGGCTAGAAGGCAAATCAGCTCTAATACTTGCCCATCAGTAATCTCCTGTAAGGACTGTACATTTTAAAAAGAGAAAGGGATGTGTTCTGTGATGATCCTTTTGTTTCTCAGCGTTTTTCATAGTTGTTCTGTCAAAAAGTACTGCTTCTTTGAGAATACAGTCCTTGTGCAAGTGTGTAGGTGACTAACATTGTTGGTGGTTTTCAAAACCTACCAGTAAAAATCCTTAAATCTCAGAAAAAACTAAATCCCAGGCATCAAGGCAATGTTAGATGCAGTTTATGTAGTTTTGCTGTCCAAGTTTTGCTGTCCAAAATTGAGGGTTTCCTGTTGTAAAATTTATTGAAGTGTTAGTCTTATTCTTTTAAGTGATCATCTTAGGACAAAAAAAAAAAAAAAAAAAAGTACAGAGATGCACAGGAAATACAGTCTAAACTTAATGAATGTTGATTTTCCACTGACTTGTGTCAGCATGCTGCTCGTGCCAGAAAAATGGCAGAAGATGTTGTACAACATAATTAGTGCCTAGCTAGTGGAAGAAAAGACAGATTAAAAGAAAATTTAGGGAAAGAGTAACCTGTTTCTTATCCTGTGCATGAAAAAAAAACCCATGGAACCTGGACCTAGTAGCCACATGAAAAGTCACTCAAAATTCATATGTCATCGGCTGCCACTGTCAACAACAAAGTAGGGCTGCTATTGATATTTCCACAGCCAGAGTCTGTGCTGTGAGCTGCAGGGCACTGACATCCTCCCATAGTGGATTATGTGAAATTTATGGTGAGTCTGTCCCCTCTGAATAGGGAACTCCCCAAAAAGTGTTTAGAGTGCGCATAGTGGCTTTCCCCACCATGATCTATAGTACCCTTCTCTGGGTTCAGTCAGCTGTAGGCAAAAATGAACACTTCTTAGCTTGAGTAAAACCATGTTGACACAGATGAATGTAACAACTCCTCTTTGTTCAAGTTCATTGTATGGAACTGCGTAAGGGGCCTCATACCAAAACACAGCCACTTGTTACCACTCTAAACAAATGTGTGCCCTGTGAGATCCCACTCAGGAATTTGAAATATCTGGGTGGAGGGCTTAGATAGGTGGAGTTTCTGTGAGTGCTCTTGTGGATGTGTGTGGGTGGGGCAGAGAGAAAGAAAAAAGGAGAGGGAAACAGAAGGCAGGGGAAGGAAGCAGGAAAAGAACAGAGAGGATATGTTTACTTTTTTTTTTTTTTTTTCAAGCAGATGTGAGCTTGCTTTGGTTGTGCTCCAAGCAGACACAATTTGTTGTGCCCACGCTATCAGCAAAGGCTTGGTATCTAGCTCAGGCTTACTAACCATGGCTACACTGTTTATGGTTTGGAGCTGACTCACGCCCATCCAGAGTAAAGGCTTACAACTGTGTGGTTAAAACCAGAAGAGACCAGAAAAACAATTCCAGGCACAGGCTGAATGAGCAAGTTGTGTCTCCTCAGAAACGTATATAGGTCTTAGACTTTGCAGCGGGGCACTGTCCATAAAAGTCTACATTAATATTAGCACTGAGCTATGGGAATACATCTTGCAGTCTCGTGCTTCAATCCAGTAATTTAGCACTGGGCTACACATACTTTCTGGAAAAACTTTTGTTCTTGATTTTGAAGCTGGAGGACACTCTTCAGTTACCCACTCCATAACTGAGCTAATCTTTATTGTTATTATAAGTTATAGCAAGTTCAGCTTTCAGCTGTGAGATTGTGTTTGCCTTGTTTTTCTGTTCTCTGCCATCTTGCCCATATTGTGTGACATTGGCTAAATCCATCTGATATGCATCAAATCAAATACTGATAGGCACATGAAAAGAAAAGAAAAGAAAAGAAAAGAAAAGAAAAGAAAAGAAAAGAAAAGAAAAGAAAAGAAAAGAAAAGAAAAGAAAAGAAAAGAAAAGAAAAGAAAAGAAAAGAAAAGAAAAGAAAAGAAAAGAAAAGAAAAGAAAAAAAGAGGTTAATGATTTCAGGCCCCAAACCTGGATAGGAGATGCCCAAGTCCAAAATAACAATCTGAAGACCTCTGCTCATCCTGAATGCATTGCTACAAATCTCGCAGATTTCTTCTGAAGGTGTATGTGAAGCATCTCACACCTGCACCAGCTGAGGTAGCAAACCCATGATGTTCCTCTCTCTCCCTGAGAAGAAAGAGGAAATGTAGTCAGGAAGCCTGGTCGGCCTTAGAGAAACATCTGGGATCTGAGCTCTGCTTTGACAATTTCTGCATTTATAGGAAACAGTCAGTGAAGAAAACTCATGAACAGTTCTTGGAGCAAAATCTGAAAAACTAGATCTGCCCCCTCCTGGGTAAAGTCCCTAAGGCTGAGAAGCCTAGGATCACATCCTCTTTTCCACTGGGTGGAACTCAAAATACTTTTTTCATTCCTCTGGTACTGATAAATTATTGGCAGTTTCAGGTCCAACAGGCTGTAGATGTCCAGAAATCCTAGCCAAAAGACCACTGATTTCAAGTTTGTAGATCTGCTCCTATTCTTAAAAAGACATTGCTGCCATATGGCCTTAGGAGAGGAGAGATCCCTCTTACAGTGTTGAATTCCCAGGTTGAAGAGTAGAGCTGGAATTACAGTCAGCAGTGGCTAGGTGCAGACAAGCCAAAACCTCAGAGCATGCTGACTGTAACAATGCACTACTTAAGTGCTACCTTCCTCTGACCACACATAGTGCAGGGACCTGAGCTGACTCTCTACAGAAATTTCATAAATCCTGCATCAGATCAAAGGAATTATGACTTTCAATGCTGTGATGTTCGCTTTTAGCTATAGGTGCAAACTCCCAAGAAAGATACTGATTTCTCAGCTATGGTGGTTTTATGGCACTTATCCTGGGGATATGTATAATTTCAAGGGCAACCACTCCAGGTCTTTTCATGTCTTGATATGGCCTATGAATGTGTCTGAACTCTACACTTGCAAGAGTCTTCTCCAAGGATGGAAGGATAATAATTCTGTATCTTGTGTTTTGAAATTTTGAGCCCAAGAAATTAAATGAGTGCTTTGATGTGTTTTTTCCCTTAGTTTCAATAAGGATAGGATTTATTCTTCATACATTCTCTGTGTTTCACAGCATGATGGTCAAAACACTGTAGCAAAACACTAAGGCAGTTTAACTTTACGAAGTACCATGTAGAAGTGATTTCAGAGTACATTAGCATACTGTGTTTCAGCAGCTTTGATTTCTTCACACAGAAGTTAAGGAGAAATTCACTCAATCAGTACATCTAGGCTCAGCTTACCAACTTCTTTTAATACTTCAATGTCTTCGTTGGAGATAGTACTGTGAGCCCTCAAAAAACAATTATCACAGCTTCTGTTGGCAATTAGGATGAATAAAATTAAACTCAGGAGACTCACTAGTACATAGAAAGCTGATCCCCATGGGGGTGATTGCCTCACCTACCAGACCATGCTAGAAACATCTCTTAAGGCTTTACATCATCACCATACTGGGAAAAACAAAACAAAACAAAACAAACAAAAAAAACCAACCCCAACAAAAAAACCCCAACAACCAACAAACAAATAAAAAAACCCCAACACTCTAGACAGTGGCAGTATGTTTGGTATATGTTGTAGGCCTCTGAAGTTTTCAGTTAGAATGCTCCAATTTTGGCATTGCTACATCAGTAAAGGCCATGCCAGGTACATGCCCTCAGCTGTGGATACCTGTTTGTTAAACAAAACCAACCAAACAAAAAGAGATCTTCAGTCAGCTCCAGCTAACTCTCTTCTCACTAAAGTTCTCCACCGTTTTGAATTCCAAATGCCTAAATTAGCAACTATGGGATCCCTTCAGTTCCCCACTGAAAACACTCGTTACTGTATTTGCCAACTCCCAGTGTTCACCCGGCTGTAGAGGTTCCACTAAGATAACAATAAATGCAATAGCTAATTGTTCATCATTTGGGGATTAGAAGCAGCAATATGAATTTTCAGGAAGATTGGTTTCTTTTTAGCTCAGTTTGTAATAGGGCATTTACAGAGTTAGCCATACAGGCTTATAAACATTTTAAGTATAATACATATTTTCAAGTGGTTTTTGTCTTTGCAGTTGACAGGGAAAGGATTTGTAGAAGCACTCAGCTTTGGCCTAAC